AAGCGAGGCAGAGGTCAGAGATCAGCAGTAAGCGAGGCAGAGGTCAGAGATCAGCAGTAAGCGAGGCAGAGGTCAGAGATCAGCAGTAAGCGAGGCAGAGGTCAGAGATCAGCAGTAAGCGAGGCAGAGGTCAGAGATCAGCAGTAAGTGACAGAGATCAGCAGTAAGCCAGTTACAGTTCAGAGATCAATAGTAAGCATAGGCGTGTGCACGGGGTGTGCTGGATACACCCTAATCACCCCCAAGTGCATACCTCCTAACTGCCCTGGATTGGGTGGGAGCATCCCAAGATTTAAATATAATCGCAGTCTCCTGGCAAACCATGCTGTATCCCAGAGCCGTTCTGGCACTCAACTCCATCATTTGGCTTCCGTGTCTCCCCTGGAGCTGTGCTTGTCACAGGCAGCTACAGAAGAAACAATGCTTGTTTATTCCGGGGAGGAGTCGGGTAGTAAAGGGCAGCACAGGGAGTAGGGAGGCTGGGCTTTGATTGACTGTGATTGGATTTGTACAGGAAGGGTTCGGGTGCTAAAGAGTGGGTGTGACATTTGGGGTGGGGTTACAAGCCAAGCATAGCCCCACCCCCTACTCCCTGTGCCATCCTTTAGTACCCATTGCTTCCCTGGCATAAACAAACAGCATTTCCTCTGTAGCTGCCTGTGACTAGCACAGTTGCAGGGGAGAGACAGAAACAGGATTTATAAATGTCAGAACAGTGCCGTGCTCCACTTTATACAAAATAAACAAGCAATAAAATATACAAAATCTTCCAAAATATTATTCAAGCGTCTACATCAAATCCGTGATTCACTATAATCACTGTAGTGTAGCAATAGGGTGCTCCTCAGTTCAGCTCTTGTGATATAATCAGACCAACACTTGTGCACCTCCACCAGTTTTGCTCTCACCTTGTGTATATGACCAAACCGCTAAGTGAGGTCATATAAAGCATCTGTCCCTTTGGACAGTCCTTTTGGACTGTGATGAGATGGAATTACTATCCCAAAAAGGTCTGGATCTCCTTCACTTCTCTAGTTGTCCTCCTCCATCTATTCAAATGCCAAGAAAAATAACCAAAACATAGAGCGCCCTGTTATAAAAAGCATTTATTTAAAATAAGCTGTATTCCACTCACATGTGTAACATAATTATGCGTTTTTTGTGCAAAAAACAATTACTCCAGATCACCGCTAGCGATTCTAGCATGCACAGCTAGCTGATACCTCTCTCACTGCTTGCCGAGCGTCGTGACGTCAAAGCCCCTCCCCTACACGTTACGCCACCGGATCACGTGGCTTCATCAGGGAAATGATTGGATGGGGTTCACAGCGTTTGGCCACTCTGCTTCCAGTTGCCAGGTAATAGCTATTACCTGCCAACTGGAAGCAGAGTGGCCAAACGCTGTGTAATTTCAGGGGGTTGGGAATAGTCTAGACAGGCATAGAACCCCATCCAATCATGGATGAAGCCACGTGAGGCAGATGGTCACTTACTACTGCATTGCGTGTCACTACTGACCCCTAACCTCTGCCTCACTTAGCACTGACCTCTGAACTCTGCCACACACCTAGCACTGACCTCTACATCACTTAGCACTGATCTCTGAACTATGCCTCGCTTAGCTCTGAAACCTGCCTCACTTAGCACTAACCAATAACTTCTGACTTACTTAGTACTGAACTCTGCATCACCTAGCAGTGACTTTTGAACTCTGTAGTAAGTGACATAGAGCTCAGAAGTGACTCAGAAGTCGATATTAAGTGAAGCAGACTTCAAGGGTCAGTAGTAATTAGCGGAGAGTTCAGGGGTCAGTAGTAATTAACGGTCAGCTTGGCTTTCAGGCTAATGCAGTGTAGTTTTCCTGCACCATTGCTGCAGCACAGTGTCCCCACAGTTTTCATGTAGGTTAGTTGTGCTATAAACTTCTATTCTTTCCCGTGGTTTTGATGCACTTTCTGTCCTCCTGCAGAACAAATTTTGGGCCAATCACATGCCTCCCTGATGGTATGGCATAAAGGATAAATATCTGCTTGTATTTCTCAGCATTGATGGCACCATTGATCCTCTTCAACTCCATTTTCAGAAATGCAGCCTCAGACTTGCAAGGAACCTCCACCATGCCTCACTGTTGCTCTTCACTCCTGCTACAGCCAAATATTTCAAATTTTAACTCCTCAGTCCAGAGCACCTACTGCCATTTTTCTGCATCTCAGAAGATAGTTTGTTTGCGAAGGGCTGGAGAGTGGTACAATTATGAATGCTATATTTCAATGGCCAAAGTAGCCTCATTCTAAATTTTGCACGTATTATAAGTAGAATGTTGGTGGGGGGGGGGGGGTTTGTTGAGGTCTAATTGGGTTTTTTTGTATTTGTGTTACATCACAATTAACCTGCTGCTGGCCGCATTATTACTATGTTACCAGTGAATGGGCCAGAATGGGCTGCTGTGCCCGCACAGATGTGAACCTAGCCTAAGGGAGAAAATTGGGTATCTTTTATGTTATGGAGTTGAGTTGGAATGAAATGTCTGTTGGGTGGAAAGTTCTGTGCTCTGATTTTATTAAAGGTTCCGTACACCCAAAACAAAGGAGTTCACTAATGTCATATAGGTGAAAACTCTTTCAGTGCTATCTCCTCAGTTTGGTTCTCAGCTTTTAAGAGTCCCCCCCCCTTCTATTGTTTTATTCATATCACTGGTCAATAAAAAAAAAAATTTAAATATTCTGGCCTGGACTTTTGCAGCTGTTTTAGACTAATTTCAGGGTGCTGATTCCAAATCTGATCTCAGATTTTCTCTATCACAGCTCATTTTTATGCTATCGGCATACCCCAAATTAACACTTTGTAACTTATGATTGCAAGTTGTTGCGAGTCAGTGACTGCTTTAGTGTTAAAATATGGTGCTGTATTTTTAGGATGGTGTGTTTTATAATATTTTATGTAGATATCCACATTTATTTAATATTTTCCTTCTGCAAGGAGGGTCACACCAAATACCCTTGTTTCCTGTGCTACTGGGACAGTAGGACAACATTAGAACACTAGGTTAAAAAGAACTGGCCACCAAGAATCAGTTTGACACCTAGTGAAAAGAACATCAAGAATGAGCCTTTGGTTGATAGGAATAAAATTGTATTTCCCCCACTGCACATAAAACCTGGGTTAATGAAGCAATTCGTCAAAGCTCTTGATCACACTGGAAGCTGCTTCAGCCATATATGTTCAACCTTTTCAAGTCTCAGTGCCGTGAAGAAAAAGGCAGGAATATTTGATGGCCCTCAAATTAGAACACTCATCAGGGATCCACACTTTGTTACAACAATGACTGCGGCAGAGGCTAGAGCTTGGAATGCATTCTCTGATGTGGTGCGGAATTTCTTGGGAACAGGAAAGCGGGCAACTATCAAGAGATTGTGGAGGAGCTGCTCTTGAGTTTCCAAGCACTTGGATGTAGAATGAGCATCAAGGTTCACTACTTACATAGTTCACTTGGCCCAGTTTCCAGAGAACATAGGTCACGTGATCGAAGAGCAAGGTTATGCTTTCATCAAGACATTAAATTTATAGAAGAACGTTACCAAGGCCGATAGAACTCAAACATGATGGCAGATTACTGCTGGTCCTTGATGAGAGACATTCCACACGCTGTACATTGGAGATCGTCAAAGAAGAGGTCGTTTATGCAGATGTAACATCACTATTGTGAATGACCATTTTGTAAATATTTATCTTCACAATTCAATTCTTACATGGTAATATGCATTCACTGACATTGATATGCAGTCACTCACAACTTTGTGCTACGGCTCATTAAATGTTTGTTTCATTATTTATTGTATATTGTATCTTATCCTTGTATGTATGCCTGTATAGCTATTCGTATATGAGCACAACTTTGCTGTTTTTATTGAAAAATGCAATATTTGATATCTCAAAAACCTGATATGATAGACAAAAACAGATGCCGTATTTGGAATCAGCACTCCAAAATAATCAAAAACTGGGGGTTGGGGTCTTATTTTTTTTCCACAGTCGTTAAAAGAAGGAGCAGCTGTGGAGGTTCTGTTTTTTTTTTGTTTTTTTTTTTTTTAACTCTGACTACCTCCCTTCACTCTACTTTTGTTTTTTTTTTCTGCTTATCCTCAGTTCCTTTGTAATATTGGATCAGTTCGCTAGGAGCATCACTTTTGAGCTCAATTTACTTTCTTTTGGTCATAATGATGGGAACCTCAGCCGATTTAAAATATAGATATTGTTCAGTTGTGACCTTTATTTTTCTGGACTGTTATAAAACTTTATTGAGGGACAGAAATGTCATGGGAATAGACACGGGGTGCGTCTTGTAGCCCTAAATATGGCAAAGTACTATTATGTCGACTGGAATTTTACTAGTCTGATGATATTATGGTTCAGATGGCACGTCTTGAAATCTTTAAAAATTATTGAAAAGGATTATCAGAAAACATTTGAGGAGATTAAAACCCCCTGGTAACAGTCATGACAGTTGTCTAAACCTCAGAGCTTTTATGCCTAAGGCTTGCCACAAAAATTGCATGTTAAATTGCATGTTGCTGTCCACAATTTCACATTATGTAGCAATTTGAGATTAAAAAAAAAAGCATAAGGCTATTTCATGTGAAATACAGAGTCTCCAAACAAAAACGGTAACAAGGATCCTTTTGAGGATCAGGTGCAAGAAGGTACATTGTGTGTGTTGATAGTGTAAAATCGCTGAAATAACTTGTGCAGCGTGGTAAACTGTTAAAGGAAACTATGTGCAATGTTTTAATTTTAACCTTGGTATGTTTATTTAGCTAATTATTTGAAGTATATGTAAATGCTGATCTTTTACTAGACCTCATTCTGCACATCTTTTAATTTATTACAGCTTACAAATATATTTCTTATGTTATCATTAATTTGTAAGGCAATGTTTGTGGTAAGCTTGCACAGCTGCTTCATTAATCCTGTCTCTGTTGTTCTTCTGTTTGTGGGAATAGAATAGTAGAAGTAGCAGCCTGCCATTCATCACACACATCGGCTGCCAGATCTCAAAGTGGTCAGGTATACATGTGGGGCCAGTGCCGAGGACAAGCTGTCATCTCACCACATCTCACTCACTTCACCTGCACAGATGATGTGTTCGCCTGTTTCTCCACTCCAGCCATAATGTGGAGGCTGCTTTCAGTAGGTGAGGACAATCAGAGGTGCATTAATGTGTTCTGTTTTAATTCATGTCCATAGCACACACACTGTACAGCTGTTAGGCTTAAAGGATAAGTTCACCTTTAAAAAAAAAAAGACACTTTATTTGCTGGTAAGGGATTGCAATCAGCAGATCACGGGGTGCAATGTCTGTCTCTGCAGACTGTCAATGTAGCTGTCTGCCTGTACCTCCGATACAGGCAGGCAGTTACTAAATGACAGAAGCTCAATGGACTACGAGAGCACTCACCAGCACCCTCGCAGTTCAACTAGGAAAGCCATCTTTCACAAAGGCTGATGGAAGTTGTTTTTAATTGTCAGAACTCTGTGAATGAATGATGCAGTCATGTTAACCCCACACAGCCATGCTCCTATCAAACTATTGCGGGGAGAAGATAACTGTCACAGGGAGGATGAAGCTGCAGGAACACATACATGTTTTCACCCTACGGGTGGAACGTGTAACATATTCCCCAAGGTGAACTTCTCCTTTTTAAGTCTGGAATGATTAATACAAAGTACAAACCCATATTTCAGTTATGTAAATATAATTTTGTTTGTAAAAATTAATTCTTGTAGGGTTTTTATGGGTTATACAGCTTGCATTTTTTTTGTGAAAATTGCATGTCTATGAACATTCTTTTGTTTATGCATAAAAAAAAAGAGAGAGAAGTAGGAATTTTGACTTGCTTGTAATATTCATATCTTGGAGTACAGTACAGGCTAGGCAAAAGATTCTCAGACCCTGGGTTATAGGCTTGTGCCTTCAGGTGTGGACACTGGCAAAGCTTTTGAGGTCCTGCCCCCTGGGTGCCTCCCCTATAACCCTGCCCAACTCATAGTGCAGGATTAATGAACAAGTAACAACCTTTTAAAAACAAAGAGCCAGTCCCACCAAAGGTAAAGTTAGCAACGCTTCTCATGGCCATTCTGCTACATGGGGAAACAAAAAACAGTGTGAGGATGTGGTGAGACAACTATGCTTTCAGTAGGTCCCTGCCCCCTTTATCAAGTTTGCTCAATAGAGGGTGGATTTACAAATGGACACATTTTGCATAACTTGTTTTTTTATATTGATACAAACCCTCAATATTACAAAAGGTAGCTAGGGGATAAGGGGAAAAGTTCAGAACGTCCTGCAATTTGTTGGGGTCAATAATATTCTTGATATTTGGGGCTTCCTTATAGATGAATCGTTGTTTAGAGGAAATAATAGAATTTAATTTGGAGTCTGAATAATATATGCTGTGTTGTTGGATGAATTCTCCACATTTTCGAACTTGTATTGAAAAGTTGTAATAAACTTGATGGACTTAGGTACAAGTCCTCCTAAGCCTACTGTACTGCCCTTGGGGATATTTCTAATCCTCCAAGATATATTCATAGACCTTGCATGTAAATGACCAGGAGGAGATTTGTTCTTGAGAATGGAAGCAATAGGGATCAGATTTCTTATCCATCTCACAATGGTGGATGGAAGCAGAAAGGCATGTTAATAGGACTAGTTCTAAGGGTGGTTTATGAAGAGCAGAGAGAACCATGTTGAGATCCAAAGGAAGCACAAGGTGCTGCACTGGGGGCTTAAAGCAGGGCTCTACCCAAAAGGGGAGGTTCTGCTTTAAGTACTCCTTCCCCCTGCCATATTTGGCATGCATTTTGGGGGGGGGGGGGGGCAGCAGGTACCTAGCTTTGACAGGTACCCACTATCACTTCTGGCTCAGTGCGCACGGAGTCACTTCACAGGTCCAGAAGACTGCTGGACCATTTAAAAGGCTCAGTGTACCTCACACATGTGCAGTGGGCACTTGGCTGTGAAGCCGCAAGCTGTTACACCCAGGTGCCCACAGTTGAGATGCCCGTGCCAGAGGAGAGAAGGGACAGCTTGGGTGACCACATCCTGAATCTTGGGACAGGTGAGTGTGTGTTTATTAAGGGCCAATTCACACTACATGCGTTTCAGTTGCTATTTTTCTGCATCCAAAACGCACAGAAAGTAGGTTATATGGCTGTCAATGTCATAGTTCACATCAGTGCTTGCAGTTCCAGTGTGTTCTGGGTTGCAGGAAAAAAGTAGAACAGGCTGCAATTTTCCTCCACAGAACTGTACTGGAACGTGGTAAAACGCCTCAAAAATGCACCAGAACGCACATGTCCCTATTTCAATTGAAGAAAAAAAGAGGGGAACAAATTAATCGAAAAGCATCAAGAAAAGCACTGGAACATGCCAAAAATGCACATACAGAAACACATCAAAAATGCATCTGGACTGCTTTTCTATAGTGTGAACAGGACCTAAAAGTCAACAGCTACAGTTTTTTTGTAGCTGCTGACTTTTATTAAACACAAAAATGACTGGAGCTCCTCTTTAATGTGCAATATGTCTTGAGGAAAAGTGTTTTGGGGGAGCAAAGCCAGAGGTTTTTGAAAAAGATTGGACAAGGGAGAAACCTGTTTTTTTTTCAGTTAAGACCAAGTTCTGCTCAAGACCTGATTGTAGGAAGATCAGAATGTGAGGAACAGAGTAATCTCTCTGGGATTGAAGCACCTGTGTTCACACTGGGCAAAAAAAAAGGATTTCTAGGTATGAGAGATCATTCTGGTGGTAACGTTTAAGACCAGTGGTGTGATGTAACACCTGGTCATCCACTTGAGACTTCGCTCTGAGTGGTCATTTAATTTGTTTTTTATATAGCGTCAATTTATTGTGCAGTGTTTTGACACATAAAACAATTGACATCAATCCTTGTCCCTAAATCTGTTGTCCTACCATACTCCTACAAACTAGGGTCAATATGACAGGACATCAAGTAACTACCTGTGAACTGTGAAAGGAAGCCATAAACTGTTATTTAAACATGGAGTGCCAACAAACACCATGCTGAGAGTGTTTCAAGTGAGATTCTAAGTAAAAAGCCCCATAGCAGTAACACCAGAGTGATGCCTTCTGATACACACTGAGTGTAAAAAAAGTGTATTAAATATAACTGAAAACAATTGTGTATGTTTAAATATACCAGTTTTAAACTGGTGAGAGAATTTTTGTAAGTTGTTTTTCTGTATTTGTTCCCTTCTGAAGAGCCAGATGATCACCTGACTGTAGCAGAGTCATTAAAGAAGGAATTTGACAATTCTGAGACGGCTGACTTAAAGTTTTTAGTGGATGAAAAATATATTCATGTGCACAAAGTTCTTCTACAGATTAGGTAAGAAATCACAGGTGGGGATGAGTAAACTTCTGTATGAATCTACTTCTACAGATTGTTCAATCTGAAAGTACACTGCAAACCCAAACTAATTGTATTTTAGATGTATGAACTGCAACAGGTTTGTCAATAATGCCAGTTCAGGTGTGCATAATTTACCGGATCGACAGTGTGCATGAATCTGATTTGCCTGTACATGTTCAGATTCCTTAATTTAAGATTGCAGTTTGGTCATCTCTTGCTGCAATGAATGGGGCACAATCATTGGCAACACTGCCAATTTTTTAATTTTAATCTTGTAACTTTTATTTCCAGGTGTGAACATTTTCGTTCAATTTTAAATGAAAGTGAGGAAGACATCATTGAAATTCAACAGTTTTCCTATCCGGTATATCGTGCTTTCTTGGAATATTTGTATACAGATAATATCAGCATTTCTCCTGAGGATGCCATTGGTTAGTATATGCACGTACTTGTTATATCATTTTTACTAACAGTTTTAGCCAATGCTAAACATTTATTGTGTGAACAAAGATCCTTCAGCTGTGACAATTCTGTGTAATTTCCTCACCCCTGTAGCATATTGGATTTCCTAACTTTCTGTCCTAGTGACAATGCTCATCAGAAAAAGCCATAAGATGATGTTCCCTAGTGAGGACATAGCAATAAAAACCTGAGAGGTTCTAATTCATACACTATCTAAAACTGGCTGCCGATAAATTTTGAAGGACCATTACATAAAAAAAAAATGTTGTAGTTGCTCTATCCTGACCAGAATTTTTAGTTCCACTCAAATGCTGCAGCTGCTGTTACAATGCCACATGAAACCCTACCTCTTTGTAAGGTAGAATACGTAAGCACTTGTGGAATTGACTTGGAAGAGTGACACCCTCAACTTGGGGCTGGAATTGACTTGGGAGAGAGTGACACCCTCAACTTGGAAGAGAATGACACCCTCAACTGTTGCGAGATTATCAGTGCATGTGGAATCACTCTTTTAGCTGTTAGAATCATTCAGACAAGTGTATATAGAACACTCAAATCCAGGGTTTCTCAGCTAGCGTTCCTCCAGGGGCTGCTAGGGGTTCCTTGAGCAACGAGCAATTTCTTCCTCTCAGATACATTTCTACTGATGCCATTAATCTTTTTATCTATCTGTAAGGGGGTAATTCTTCCTAATGATCAGAAGTATAAGGGGCATGCTTCCTACTGACTATTACACTAATGTACTATGATTTGTAGATATAGTCATTATCTATACCCTACTCTATCAAAAACAAAAAAATAAAGTTTTGCCATATAAAGCTTAGGATACAAGGGTTTTTTGTACTCAGGAACAATGCACACTTAGTTTTCGATTTATTTTACTTAGGAAGGTTATATATATACTGTAGATTTCTCTGCAATAGTCACACGTTTAATTTTTTGTTATTTCTGTGTGCAGGACTTCTGGAGCTAGCTACGTTATACCGAGAAAATAGACTGAAGCAACTATGCCAACAGACCATAAAACAAGGTATCTGTGAGGAGAATGCGGTCGTACTGCTGTCAGCTGCCGTTAAGTATGATGCCCAGGTACAAGGAAATCCTTTATAAGTTGTATAGACAATAAAGCCTTACAATACATCTCTGCCATTTTAAACAGTCCTATTGTTAAGCCCTAATTCAAGTAAATACAGTATCACGCAATATAATGTCCTAGTTCAGACAATCACTGCGAGAATGTTCTCAGTGCACATTACTGACTCTGGACTGCCCCTCCCTTTTAGCCTGTGTCCAATAAGACGTTGCGGGTGGTAACTGGTTAGCCCTTTTAAGTTTTGTTCAAAAGTCTGTATTTGTATATTAGAAAGCTTTGGGCCAACTCGTTCTTGAAGGATGCTCCTTAAAGAGTAACTCCACTTTTGTTGAGAAAAAAAACCCTCTGGGTGATCAACGTACACTACAAGGATTTTAACAAACTTTGTTGCAGATTTCTACCTGTTTCTGCTCTAAAGAAAAAGTCGTTTGTTCCACTTTGCATCTTTGGATACTAATTCTGAATTGGGAGTGACTTTTTCATCATTAATCAGTTGATTTACTTGCTGCATCAGCATCCCTTTAGAAGTGATTAACTCTTCAGGAGTATCTCAAAAAAAGTGAGATTTTTGTTGCAGAGGATACCTAAAATTTGACTCTGGATCTTAGTGTAGACATCTGGGAAAATCACTGAGCTAAGCAGGAAATTACATTTATGGGTTGTGCCTTACAGAAAACTACAGTGGCACAGATTGTAAAGCAATTATATTTTTTAAATAACATTCAGTTACAATATGGCTTGTGTAGCAATTCTACTGTATATGCAATATTTTTTTTTCTCTATTTTGTTCCCCATGAAAGTGGAGTTACCCTTGTGTCTGACCACAAATCAGGCTTCCTTTTTTGCCTAATTTGGCAGATGATAGGGGCGACATGAAGGAGGGTGTCCATTTAAATTGATAATTTAGCCCCACCTGCCCAAGACTACCACCACTGCCAAAAGATCTCATGCTTAAAAACTTAGGGAAATTTACACAGCTGTCTTTGTGGAGCCAAGTGTTTTACTTTTGCAGCTACCATCCAGAGCTTGAAGTACAATCATCTATAGCCAAAACAATGTAAATACGAAAAGGATTTTCACTCTTTTTTACATTAGAATTCGATTGAAGGATTGCGGGGTAGCCAGATATTCTATTACTGATTTTGCATTCACATTTACACTTTATTCCTAAACAGAGTTCTTGTGTACGAAGGAAATATTATTATTTTTAATACACTGCAAATGTTTCATTGGACTGGACATCTCCTTTAAAGAAGTGTAGGCTACATATAAATGTTGAGAGGCTAAGCTAGTTGCCAGTCAGGCATCCAGGTGGATCCTGACATTCCTTCCAGAACCTGGAGTGGCTCTGTGATGTCACAGGAGAGCACAAGTAAGTGCACTCATGTGATCTAGAAGAGAAGTATCATAAATTGAAGTAAAAAAGTGAGTGCTCTCTAGTAAGCAGCTAAAGCATTCAAGGCAACCAATATAAAACCTTGTCAAAGCATAAAATAGATAAGTGCAGCGCTAAATAACTTGAAATTATAATGATCTTTTGTCCAACAATAAAGGTCAGCAATAAAATTAAATTATCAATATGATAAATAGATGAATAAATGACCAAGATTTTTTATAAAATAAAGGTGACAGTCTGTGCAGATATAAAGGTTCAGTAAAATCCAGTAATGGTGCTCCAAATAATGTGGTAAAATTACGCACTCACCAGATGCGTAATGTAAACACGCATTATATGAACCAGTAGAGGTCTCCTTTAAAGATATGGATCTGGTCTGGGACAGAGATAATCCTCCCTCTAGGTGAGTGGTGTTGTCTGGAGTGCACAGGGAAGCATGAGTATCCAGCTGGCCAGAGGTCCCTTTAAGGGATGGATGGGTGCAGATGCCTGTATACAGGAACTCCCTTCTCTGGAATCTTTAGATGGCTGGATCAGGCAGACTCTAAGGATAATTAGCTCAATGCCGTGAACTTCAGCAACCTTGTCAATAAGGTCAGGCCTCTGCTTGTGGATTGCCAAGTAGAAAGCGTTGTTCAGAATGTCCTCATCATACATAGCCCTAAGGGATGTCAGTTCCGCAAGGCGTACCAGAGCGGCGTGGTCGCTGTGCTCATGATGGCACCATTACTTCTACGTATGTGAATCTGGAGAAAATGGAAACCGCCTGGACAGCTGAAACTGTGCGACACCCAGGACATGAAAATCCCTGTGCTCCCTCCTCGTCTTGCCCTCACACACAGCCGCTCCGCTTCTTCTCTGCAATGCTCAGCTCAGCCCGGGACCAACAACACTGCCAGCAGCCAATCAGATCCACTCTCTCTCTCTCAGGGACCTCTGGCCAACTGGATCCTTATGCTTCCCTGTGCACTCCAGACAACACCACTCACCTAGAGGGAGGATTATCTCTGTCCCAGACCAGATCCAGAGGGAGGATTATCTCTGTCCCAGACCAGATCCAGATCTTTAAAGGAGACCTCTACTGGTTCATATAATGCGTATTTACATTACGCATCTGGTGAGTGCATAATTTTACCACACTATTCGGAGCACCATTACTGGATTTTACTGAACCTTTATATCTGCACAGACTGTCACCTTTATTTTATAAAAATCTTGGTCATTTATTCATCTATTTATCTTATTGATAATTTAATTTTATTGCTGACCTTTATTGTTGGACAAACGATCATTATAATTTCAAGTTATTTAGCGCTGCACTTATCTATTTTATATATAGAAGAGAAGTATGGCCAAAGCTTTTTTCACTTTTAAACCAAACTAATGAATGTAACAAAGTTTTCCTTTCTTCCGTCACTAGGTGTTGTCACACACCTTAGGTCTGATTTTTATGAAAACTGATGTAGTTTTAATTTTTTTTTTTTTAATTTGTCCAAGAAAATAAAACTGTATTTGGTTTGGTAGCTATGGGGTCACTTCCCTTTTTTCCACTGTTTATAAATCGGTCCCATCCTGCACCATTGATACTGAAAAGGGGAACCATCAAAAGCCAGAGTAGTTTCTTCATTTCTGTTTTAATCCTTACTTTATAGGCTAGCTTTGCATTCTGTAAAATGCTAAGAATTGACATGGGCTGCATTTAGACTATTAAATCATTATTTAATATTATATCACCCTCTGCAATGACATCACTACACCACCCTGTGCACTCTTTTTACACCCTCCTGGCATAGCTGTTCTGATTAATGTGCTTGCAAGCTGTAGAAAAGTGGGTAGTGTCTGCCCAACAGTGGTCATCTTTCTCTATAAATCAGTTTGGGACACACCACACCAGCTTGTCTGCAGCTTGTTGGCAAAACTGGGTGGCATCTAGAGGTTGTATACAGTTCCCACAAAAAAAAAAAACATATATATATATATATATATATATATATATATATATATATACACAGTTGTGTTCAAAATAATAGCAGTGTGTTGAAAAAAGTGAATAAAGGTCAAAATCCTTCTAATAGCTTTTATTTCCATACACACAAATGCATTGGGAACACTACACATTCTATTCCAAATCAAAACATGAAGAAAAATATATCAAATTTGTGTTGTTCCTCTAAAAAAATTGAAGAAAAGTGATTAGACTTCAAAAAAAATAGCAGTGTTTTGTATTCTTCTTTACAAACTCAAACATTCACTATATAAACTGAAAAATGTTTGAAGATTTTGCTTTCCCTTGAGTCACTTAATATTTAGTTGTATAAGCACTGTTTCTGAGAACTGCTGTACATCTGTGTTGCATGGAGTCAACCAACTTCTGGCACCTGTGAACAGGTATTCCAGCCCAGGATGATTGGACTACATTCCACAGTTCTTCTCTATTTCTTGGTTTTGCCTCAGAAACTGCATTTTTGATGTCACCCCACAAGTTTTCTATTGGATTAAGATCCGGGGATTGGGCTGGCCACTCCATAACGTCAATCTTCTTGGTCTGGAACCAAGATGTTGCACGTTTACTGGTGTGTTTGGGGTCGTTGTCTTGTTGGAACACCCATTTCAAGGACATTTCCTCTTCAACACAAGGCAGCATGACCTCTTCAAGTATTCTGATGTATTCAAACTGATCCATGATCCCTGGTATGCTATAAATAGGCCCAACACCGTAGTATGAGAAACATCCCCATATCATGATGCTTGCGCAACCATGCTTCCCTGTCTTCACAGTGTACTGTGGCTTGAATTCAGTGTTTGGGGGTCGTCTGACAAACTGTCTCCGGCCACTAGACCCAAAAAGAACAATCTTACTTTCATCAGTCCACAGAATGTTGCGCCATTTCTCTTTAGACCAGTCAATGTGCTCTTTGGCAAATTGTAACCTCTTCAGCACATTTTTTCAACAGTGGGACTTTGCGAGGGCTTCTTGCAGATAGCTTGGCTTCACATAGGCGTCTTCTAATTGTAACAGTACTCACAGGTAACTTTAGACCTTCTTTGACCTTCCTTGAGCTGATTGTTGGCTGAGTCCTTGCCATTTTGGCTATTCTATCCATTTGAATTGTAGTTTTTCGCTTTCTTCCACGTCTTTCAGGTTTTGGTTGCCATTTTAAAGCATTTGCAATCATTTTAGCTGAGCAGCCTATCATTTTTTGCACTTCTTTATATGTTTTCCCCTCTCCAATCAACTTTTTAATTAAGGTACGCTGTTCTTCTGAACAATGTCTGGAATGACCCAATTTCCTCAGAATTTCAGAGAGAAATGCACTGTAACCAGCATGGACAACATTTGCTGCCTTCCTTCCTTAAATAAGGGCAATAATTGCCACCTGTTTTTCAAAGAATGAATGACCTCACTAATAGAACTCCACACTGCTATTATTTTGAACATGCCCCTTTCAATTAGTGATTCAATTATACAGAATCAGCAGCATGCATGTCATGACTGTTGGGTCTGTTGGATTTCTATTACTCTACTACACCTGCTAGTAAATTATTTGCCATGTAGAAATATCATTTCTACCAAAAACAGTGATTGATCAGGTTAGTGAT